AAAAAACAACCATCTGCCTATTACACGACACAGACTGCAGACACACTGTTACTGTAAAACCGCACACTGTGTGTGCACGCTCTGAAACGTCATTCCACGCGTTTATGCCGGACGACGGTAGGTACCGGGGAGCGTGCATCGAACAGTTTTAGAGTTACTTACAACTATGGTTTGGTATATTTTGAAGTGAAAGAATCAAATTCTTAATTATTATCGTCCCTTATTTTTGATCAATAAACGATCTGTTTTGGGGATTTATTCGAATCATTTTCTTTTCCTTTCCTGAGTTTCGGTCGTGCCAGGGCATTGTTTCGACAACACGACCCGTAACGATCGGTTCGCAGCCAGAAAATTCGTTGCTCGTTATCGGTTACTTCGTCAAACATCGGCTTACTTTGAGCATTCGATAGTTCCGAGTAGAAACGATGCTTTTCATTTTATAATTTACCAGTTTTTATTCGTGGTCACGTCTGATCTCAATGTGGTTTCAGAGTCCACAGAGATCGAGTCCCCAAAAGGGATGATAAAAGGGGTTTCGTTTTCGTTTGAATTCGACGAAAGAGAAGGACAAACATAATATATAAGTCTGCAAAGCAAAACCTTGTTCTGAAAGAAAGATCAGTGACTGTGTTGACACGTGATTTCACACTAAGTATGCCTTTTATCAAAACGAGTAGCAAAGATTTATTGTATATACCTTTTTCGAACGAAAAATTATAAAAATCCTACAGTGTCTTTTGGTATTCTTTAGGACTGACAAAGAAAAGAAGGGTACGAGAGGGGAACGGAATGCCTGCGTGTATGATAAAGAGAGAGAGAGAGTGAGAGAGTGAGAAAGGGGAGAGCGAGAGAGGGAGAGAGAGGGAGAGAGAGAACGAGCTTAAAAGATAAAACGAGAAAAAGAAGGAACACGTTCTTTTGCACTGAACATCAGTTTATAAAAAGAAAAGATCACTATTGTGTATACTAACGTGTAGCAGTACAGCATGTGCAATAGACTGAACGACATTGTCCTTTGTAAAGTAAATATTAAAAATCGTAAAACCCCCCACATTATCCTAAGGTATTGTGTAATACATCCAGCGTCCGCCTCTCTATTATAAAACCGACGGTAGTGATTATTTCTTGTGAGACAGAAGACCACGGAGAATTACTAATTGCCAACGTTCGATTTTTGGCAATACGACGGTTAGAAGATAAAAACGAATGAGTCTTTTTCTTAGGTACTTTTGAGCATACCTTACTGCTGATGCGAATTTGTACTATTTTGATTAAATGCTTTTCATTTGTGCGCAATAAATTTGAAATCCTTTTGAAAAAAGAAACAAACAAACGAACAAACAAAAAAAAATAATGAAAAGAAAGACAAAACACAAAGAACAGGAAAATACTATCTAGGTGCTGACAATGTACGAACGATTACTAGATCTCTCCTCTTTTGTCAATTAAGTGGTGGTTTTGTAATGATGTAAAATACGAGGGTAAATTAAAAACTTAACAACACATTGCAAAGAAAATCATTGAAATAAAAGTGGGAATTTTTATTTGACGCTGAGAACTTTTTCTTGGCCCGTTAAATATTTCTTTTTTGACTAAGGAATCACGTGTTTTTCTTTGTTCTTCTTTTTCCTTTTGATCATGTAAATGTGTTTATTTGTACGAAGATAATTGTAACTGCTTAGATATACGCATAATTTTGTTTTTCGTATTCACGTTTATTTTCGAATACGTCAATGCAAATGTGAGCGTGGGTAGTCGTTCGTTTCTATTCTTTTACAGCGATTACATGATGTGATCGATAGGTTTCATGGCGGCGACATATTGAACTCTATTTCATTTGAACGATTACATTGTTTGATTTAGAGTAAAATAAATATTAAAATAATAAAAACAAGCTTATTCTTATTAATTTGCACTGTACAGACGAAATTCTCTTTCGTTATATTTAGAAATTATACAATGCTATTTTGTTTATTATCAACGGTAAACATGTTTTGATTTAAATATTCTTACAGTGTTATCCGCACCACCCGACACCATGAATTTCGGGTTCGACCAGTTGCAACATAATACTTTGTCTTCGTGTCCAGAGAGGTCAAATAATGGCACCTTAGGACTGCAAGCAAACATTTTCCATTGCACAATTTATTATTTAATAATGATACTTTGATTTTATTCACTATACCTTCTGGTGTCCCAAAGTTTCATATCATTGTCATATGCTCCCGAAATAAATAAATTTTCATTCACAGTTGACCACCTTACAGATTGCACCCATTGCGTGTGAGAAGTGAATAACGTTTTTACAAGTGTGCCCTCTGAAAGTAATTGCAGGTGGTACCATAGAATTTATAACTAAAGGTAAATCAAGTTAAAATTCAAGCCCACCTGTAGATCTTGGGTCGTATAGTCTGATGTGCCTGTCAGCAGATGCTGTTATAACAGCACGAGATAAAGGTGAATAATCAATGTCAAAGAAACTTTTATTGCCAGCAAGATCATGTTTAATTCCTCCTAATTCTGAATCCCATACTTTGATAGTGTGGTCCCACGAACATGTTATAACTTCTGCCTTTTCTGACCATACAATACCACTGATAGCTTCTTTGTGCCCTTTCATTGTCCTTTTAGGAACCTGCAGATCGCAATAGCACATATTATAGTAAAATATGTTGAGTGTATTTAAAGTACTTCTTCCACTTGCAGATACTAAACTTACTCTTGTTTTACCATGTTCTGACTTCAGTCTTTTCGATGTAGATTCACCATCTTCATTTTCATCTTGATTGGCTACGAATATCAATACAAGATAAACCATATTTTAAACATTTCTCCCTTTTAAATATTTTTTTAATACCCACACGTAGACCAAAGTTTAAGCATGGTATCCCAAGCTCCAGTTGCCATCAGAGTCTTGTCATAATTAATGCTAACCGCTTCAAGTCCACGCTCATGTCCTCTACATACGTGTATACAGTCCACAGAATTCGCCAAAATATTCCAGTCCCAAATTATAGCTGTTTGGTCTTGAGATGCACTGTACATTTTATTTGTTTGTAACTATTATTTGAAAAGACTTGTTACTTACAACAATTTACCTAACGAATCTAGCAGTTTCTTCATTTAAAGATATCCATGCTACAGATTTAACAGGTGACGTATGACCAGGAATTACAAGATGATGTTTTCCTTTTGATGTCCAGATGTGTAATGTGTTATCGTAACAACCAGTTAGTATCCTATTAAACGGATTGTTTAACATGAAGATTATATGAAGTATTATAGTTTGTTTACAGTCAATAAATAAAATAAAAATAACCATTTTTCGTTAACAGCTACAGTAGATACCCAATCATCGTGTATAAGACAATCTTGAGGTTCTGGTGGTGGATACTTTTCAACATATTCAACGTCTATTACTTCCTCAGTAGATAAACTTCTTTCTGTTATATGCTCTGCCAACGAAGTACGCAAGAACTGGGAGCACACCAGAAAATCAAATTCTATGTCATTTCTTACGTCAGTTGTCTCTGGAATTAAAATCATTATTGCAGTTTCCAGTTGACCGATTGGAATTAATTATCAATTAACAACAGTGTTATACCTCTTAAAAGCTCATTTACTAGAGTGTTTAATTCGTTTGGTACGATAGCTGTGTGTACAGATAATGGAAAATCTGGAACAGCGAATCTAAAATTTTAAATATACATTTCATTCGGGGTATTTATATAAATAAATTATTTTCTTAATAAAAATATATGGTAAAATGTACTCCGCATTTAGGAACAGAGATAACCTCTCAGTTCCTGTCACAAGAAGTAGTTAAAGCATGCACTTACCCCTCCTGCTTTGTAACGAATCTTATTTGAACCTGAGGAGCACTATTGTTTACACCGGTACTAGTCATCGCAGCTATTTTTCTATTTCTATTTTATGAACGTTTCCTATATTAACTACAAGACACAAACATCGCACGTGTATTTAAACTGCCTTCCATAGTTAGTCGAAATCGATAGCTCGAAACATTCAGCGTTACCTTCATTGTTATTAGGATTAGCTTTCCCGCCTTTTATTAATACGTTAAAACAAAAAATGTAAAAGAGAAACATAAACGACTGTTAATTGTTACACTGGACATTTCTTTGAATATTATTTGTAGTTATCATATCATATCAAAGTACCTGCAACGATAGCTTTATTCAAAAAATATATTTATTCGTCGTGGTAGTATTTTTGTCGACCGATAACGGTGTGTCACAGTAGGGTATCGTGCAGTGTCAAAGTATTTCTCGATTCTCGGGAATTTGGTAATGATACGAAGATGACAGGTGGTCGTGGGGCTTTAATAGTTTTCGAAGGATGCGATCGAGCAGGAAAATCTACTCAAGTAAAAATGTTAATCGAAGCTTTGACCAAACGCAATGTGCCTGCAGAATGTCAAGCGTTTCCGGGTAACGGACACTCTCGTATTTTCTGGGATTATCGAATCAGAATTACCGATCCTATCATTGCGTATTTGTCCAATTATCTGTCACTAATGATTAATCACAGGTGACTTTGATTCAAGCATTAAGATATGAAGCATTTCCTAGTTCAAATCATACATAACCTCATCATATAAAAACCCTAACAGCTTAAAGTTAAAAAAATCATTTTCAAGATCGTATCACTCATGAAGCATATTTTTGTGCAGATCGAAGAACTCGTATAGGGGCATTGATAAATGAGTTTTTGTCCAACAAAGACGAGTTCTCACCAGAAGCAGTACATTTTTTGTTTACTGCGAATAGATGGGAACTTCAGAAACGCATGTTGAGATCCTTACAGGATGGCACAACTCTCATTGTTGATAGGTAAATTTTAAACACTAATAATCAGTTATGATTGTTTAATGCTGTACCTATGTATTAAGATTTTATCATTAACGTTACAGGTATGCAGGGTCTGGTGCAGCTTACACAGCATCTACAACAGGGAGAAGCTTAGACTGGTGCAAAACACCCGATCAAGGATTACCTCGTCCAGACATGGTTATTTACCTCAAGGTGTCAGCAAAATCTCAACGTATCCGTAGCAACTGGGGAGAAGAACGATTCGAGAACGCTAAAATCCAAGAAACCGTGGCTTCGAATTATCTGACACTGATGGACAACACATGGGCCATCATCGATGCGGACCAAGATAAAACAGTGATACATTCTCAAATATTAGAGAAAGTTTTAGATACTATAAAAAAAGTGAAGGACTTGCCTATAGGTGATTTGTACAGTTCTTGAGCATTATCACAACTACGCATTCCCGTCTTTAGATAAAAATGAAAGGAACTGTGATCCTTTTTCTCTTAAGTCTTCGCGTCCGTTTCACGCGAATGTAATTAAGTAATTTCTGTTCAAATACATTACAGATTGTTCTGAAAGCAAATTCGCGTTTTCAATGATTCTGCGTCCCGGCAGCATCGCCAGAAATATTGATTCAAACCGAGGAATTCGAAGTTGAACAGCGATCGCGACAGAATTGCCGCATGCGAGGATCGCATTCGATAAGCGACGGTGCTGCGATCACGATGAATTATTACGGCGGCGCGGCGGTACGTCGTAAATCTTTCAGCATCGCCTGCACGCGCTGCCAGGTCCTCCGCAACAGCCTTGATATCCATTTCGCATTATTCAAGAGCAACAACTACCAGAAATCGTTGTCACGGAACGCGTTACGATTAAGTGGCGTTACCTACCTCAATAAAGCAAACGACACGACTGCTGATATTTCAGAAGGGAAACAAACAAATGAATCACAATTATGGAAGTCAAGTCAGTCTATACTAAAAAATCTTTATGAACATACACACTCTTCCCTGAGGAAATCAATCTTTCCAACCAATTTATCTCTAACACTAGAACTACCAGCAAAATCAATGATCTTTCCAACCAATTTATCTCTAACACTTGAACTACCAGCAAAATCTCTATTCTCAAAAATCCCAAGGATTTCTCATGACTCCCACTCTCAAATTTTAATATAGACATATCAAAATTGACTTATCCAATAATGCCTTTCCCTATAATAATGATAAAAAACGAAACTAACACTAGGACTACCAACTTCCAAATTCCTTGATTTCTGAATTACCTTATATTTCAGTGTATCACTAAATCAACTTCAACTTCCCACAGAAGCATCTACACCTTCTCAATAATTGCAACAAAAGAAATCAGGAATTGGTAGTTCTAGTATCAAACACAAGCTACATCCATCCAGTAGTTCCAGCGTTAACAAGCGGCAGAACAAAACGCGAGTTAACATCAAGAACACACATTATCAATTGTCCTAATTTCTAGGAGACACACAGAGCGCCTTGCTCGAGACAATGCTCTGATCCTGTTCCGACCCTGGAGGACCGAACACGAACGTATTCTCGAACTGCTTGGACCAGTCGGTTTTCACCTTCTTCCCCGACTCGCTGTCCGTATCATCCCCCGAGCCGAGCGACATCCTTCGTTTCCTGTTCGTCAGCCCAGAAACATCCTGCCCATCAAGCATCAATTTTAAATTCCCATCCGACATCCCCTGTCTCGCGTCGGACGTGCCATCAGGAGCTCCTCGGGACGTGCAGGCTTCCTCGATGCTCTCCGAGACAGCCGGCGCGTTCTCCGACAACGTGTCCTCGCGACTCGACTCGCGCGTGGCCGTCGAAGTGACGTCGTTCGGCTCTAAGATTCCGCTGCTCTTGGGCTCCTTCGACGCGTAGATGCTGTCGATCAGCTTCCTGGTGTAATCCGCCTTCGCGGTGGTGGTCAGAGACAGAGCCTCGTCGATGATCGCCTGGACGGAGCCGGCGACGCCGGTGGACTCCTCGCGGAGAATGTTCCGCTTGAACGCCTCGCTTCTCGTGACGCCTCTCTTCCCGGGGAACTGTGCTTCCCAGAAGCTCCTGCCCAGCTTCCCAGCTTCCACTATAGGATCCTCCGATAAGCGAATCTGTTGTTTAGCTTGATCGTCATCATCAAGATTCTGATCGCCACTCGGTGTGAGATTTTTAGAGTTTATGGATGATGGTTCTTCCTCGTTGATTTGAACGACAGCGCTGTGACTCGTTCTGAGGTTGTAACTGTGGTAACGGGACGACGCAGGCTCGTCGGAGAGATCGTCGTCGAACGTGACGAACCGTTTGAAGGAGACGCCGGTCTGCAGGCTGTCCCAGCAGTCGCAGTCGATTTGGAGGAACCGGTCGTCCGTCCGGAAGCGCGTCCTCTGGAAGCTGCAGACCACGATCTCACGCGGCACCGTTTCCCACGCGTCGATCAGCGACTCCAGGATGTCGCGCAGGTTCCATTCCGGCGTGCGCCGTTTTAGCCTCTCTGCGTACCTAAGTGCGTTCATTCGGTTGGTGTTGTTTAATTAACAGTCCTATGTCGAGTCAGACTCGACGTATTCTATTGCAACCTCTACTTGGTTTAACAATTTCTCCTATGTTTATTTGTATAAGTACCGTTTAAAGGTAACACGATTGAAGCTTGAATTATTGAAGTTTCTGTCACTGGAATTTCTGTCGTTGGAATGTGAATTATTGAAGTTTGAATCGTTGGAATGTGAATTGCTGGAATTCGAATTGTAGGGATTTCAATGATCGAAGTTTGAATTATTGAAATTTCAGTCGTTGGAATGTGAATCACTGAAGTTTGAATTATTAAAGGTTGAATCGTTGGAATGTGAATGTGTTCGAAAAAAAATCGCCGTCGAATGGGTTAACGCTAGAACTAGATCAGAATGAGCCAATCTTGGTTTCTTTTGTAATTATTGGAGAGGTACAGATGTTTGGGAAATCGTTAAAGAAGCTGATTCAGTGATAGCTATACTGAAATACAAGGCAATTGAGATGTTAATGAATAGAGAATTGTTTTATAAAGAAATTTGGAAATGTTTAAGTGCTTGGTAGTTGCAGTGTTAACACTGGAAGCTCCGGATGGGACATTCTGACCTATGTGAAAGTGTTTGTTATCTATATTAATATAAATAAACAATATCAAAATACACAAAAATTACCAGACACCTGAATATAACTCATTATTCTATTGAAAAAATCAATACATAAGCAAAATATAACCGAAGTTCCCGTGGCGCGGAACGTGTTAACCCTTAGCACTCCAGATGGTTTTGTAATTTATCAGCAACTGCAACTAATTTTCATGGTATCTCTAGTGAAAATGAAAAATGCTGTAACATTCCTTCGATCTTTTAATAAAAATCTAATAATTAATAATAGAAAATCTAATAATATTATGGTAGTTTCTTTAATTCATTGAAATATTTAATATTATAACTGGTGCAATATTCGAGCCCACGGAGTTCAAAGAATTACACATCCTCTCAACAATATTCCAAGCAAAAACCAGATCAACACGAGTCGCACCTTCTCCTGAAGATCATCTTCACATAATGGAAGACGTCCCTCCGCAACGGCCGCAGCGTCGTCGGGAAGTCGCCGGGCAAGTATACGAGATTCACGTGGCTCAAGCGGAGATCGCGGACAGCCCTCGCCCTGCTCCGTCGCAGGAATAGCAGGACACTTCGATCGGAACGCGACAGACGGTCGTTGACGGCCGTCAGCCAGACCCTGAACAGCTCGTCGCTGATGGAACTGTCCTCGCTGCGGCAGTAAACGTGATCCCTGGTCGTCGTCCGCGACGGATACGGGCCGCAGATCAACAGCGGCAGTTTCGTCGTCCCCGACGAGTTGCAGCCCATCAGTATCGTTACTCGATTCCGGGGGCTTCCGTCGCCCTCGGGCCGGCTCGCCGAGGAAATCCTCGACGGAACGACGTCCGAATACATGCCGAGTTCATCCACGTGGAACAAGTCGCTGTGCTTGTACCTCACTATCGTGGACCTCATCATATCGATCCAATCGCGGTAGTCGCTGAACACCGGGTCGCGCTGGTTCGTCGAGTCCGTGGAGATCTTGTGCTCCTTCAGGAAATTCCTGATCCACTTGGTGGAACACTTGAAATCTGAAATAGTGACGGGTTTTTGAAGTTGAGGATTGATTGAGGATTTTGGGGATTTGATGGTTTATTGGGGTTTAGATTTGTGGCTTATTTTGGTTTGATAGTATGCTATGTGTAGACTGAATTGAGTGTGTGTTGTTTGTATGTTTGTATTGATTTATTTAGATGTTTTTCTGAAGCAGTTCTGTTAGTCTTGTTCGTGCAATACTTAAGCTAACTTAACCAAGACCTATCATGCTACGTGCCGACAAGAAAATATATTTTCTTTATTATACCTATATAGATTTATTTAGATGCTTTTCTAAATAAATTCTACCAAGAGTTTTCTTCGTGCAACACTTAAGCTAACTTAACCAAGACCTATCCAAGACTTAGCTATCATGCTACGTGCCTACAACAAATTATTATATTTTCACCATTATATCTATATTGATATATTTAGATGTTTTTCTAAATAAATTCTACCAAGAGTCTGCCTCGCGCAACACTGAACCCTTTGCACTCCAAAACTTTGTCACTAGAAATATTCAACTGATTTTTATGAGATACAGATGAGATTTTTTTAAACTAACTTAACCCTTTGAACTCTGTAGTCTCCAATTTTGCACCAGGAATAATATAATAAATTTCCACATTTCACGTATCGTCAGATTACTCAAGACTTAATGTTGACGAAATTTTACAATTTTGATGCAATCGAGTGATGACTGAGAGGCACCTTTCGAGTGCAAAGGGTTAAGCTAACTTAATCAATCTAAGGCCTAGCTACCATATTACGTGCCCACAAAAAATTGACTATTTCATTTTGTCAATTATACTAATATCAATTTATTTAGATGTTGTACTATACATCAGCAATACGTACCGCTCAATCCAAGAGTCTTCTTCAACTCTATCGCCTTCTCGCGCAGCATTTGCATGTCCAAGTTCTTACTCATTGCTCGTCTGACGCAACACCACCGGAAGAGGTTCTCCTTCATGGTCTTCATGCTGGATCTCTGGAGCAGCTTCTCTCTCATTAGGAGAATCGATGGTAAACGAATCGTTCGAGGCGAAACCAATGGGGACCGTTCTATCCAAAAAGGAAAGTCTTTCTCTCGCGAGGGATCCTCCCGGATTCTCCAGCGACCTTCGATTGTCGGTCGACTACGTTCACGGTGGTCGGCCCTCCGAAAACGCGAAAGAAACAAAAGGTCGCATGCTAATTGACAAGTCTAATTAAGAAGCTTTCGAAACCATTGAAACTCGCGGTGAAGTTGTCGATCCCGTGGCTCAATGAATTCGCCAACGGATGCGTCGCGACGAATCAATATTGTAACGCGTTGAAGAAGAATGTACAGGGTGTATCAAAATAGCAGGCCTTAACCCTTAACACTCCAGATGTTTTTGTAATTTATCAGCGACTGCAACTAATTTTTATGGTATCCCTAGCGAAAATTACAATGTGTGGAAAATCGAATAATTTTGGGGTAGTTTCTTTGACTCGTTAAAATATTTGATATTATAACTGCAATATTGGAGCCTACGGAGTTCAAAGGGTTAATTCCAGGAATGTCCATATATATCGAAACCATGCTTGTTGCATCGTTTTGATTTTTAGACTTCTTGTTTCGTTAGATCGCACCTTGTTTCAGTGTCGGCGCTTTCTGTTCGAAGAAACGCACTTAATTACTCTCAATAAGGTACCAATTAGATTTCATACGTATTATTGTTTTCAATGTGTTCGTATACCCTACTAGACAGAATGCATACATCAATATAAACTCTTCTTACGCTAACGTAATGAATCCTCTTCACTTATGCCCAATTGTTACGAAACAACTTAGCGGATAGACAATTAGCAAGCACCGCGTTTAAGAAGCTTGTATCCAGAGCCTGCACGATTTTGCGCGAAGATCAGAGGTCAGAAATGTTCCGTGGAAACTCGACAGAAACCGAACGTATCCTTTTCATTTACAATAGAAACTTTTGAAACAATTCCTTTGTTTTGTCAGGCAGAAAGGAACATTGCATTTTTCACACTGAATTCGTGAGCGTCCTCCACTATTCTAATTTACAACGTTGTTCGTGACCTTTATGTATCGGCCAGTGTCCAAGATTGTCAAATCAGACGTCACCTACAGGTATTACCCAGACCTCTGAATTTTATGGTGGCAATTGCCATCGCCATGGCCGAAAGGGTTAAGGAGCCTGTATCCAGAGCCCGCACAATGTTGCTCGTTTATCAGAGGTCAGAAGTGTTCCGTGTAAATCCGGCGAAAAGCGAACGTATCCTTTTTAATAAAGGAACGCGAGGCGAAGAGCTCGAGCCGAGCGACAGGGGCGAGTAGTTGCGAAGATTTATGCAGAAGATCCAGGCCCATCCGACGAAGCAATTTGCCAGGGGAGGGAAACCGGGATAAAAATAGGTTTTATTCTCATGGACATGTGCGCGGGGAGCCGGTGTGTTGACCGCTCGATGAGTATCATTCATCGTGCGAGCCGAGTGAAATTGCATTTCTCCGGGGCGTCGGCCTGACGAGACACTTTCCACCGTAAATTTTCATCTAATACGCTGCTTTATATTACTGCCGGCTCTCCTCTCTCGCTACCCCCCGCGACGCCTTATATCCTTTAAACGTCAAAAGTAATTCCCTTCGCTCGTCGTAACTGTAATCTGTGGCCCTCCAGTTCCGGTTTATTGCTACTGACGAATAGCGGCACGTCTCGCGCTTTATCCTCGTCGCTGGAATATTTAAAGATCGATTTTCCTTTTACGTATGGTGAAAGGAAGATATGGTTATACGTTGCAATTGCGAACTGAAGAAACCGAAAACAGTCGTTTCGACGGATACGACGGTTTCAATGTGATCGAGGTCGTCGTTTCTTTGTTGTTTCGTTTGTTCTTTAGTTCGTAGTTATTAGGTATGGTTTTCGTATGGTACGTCGGCGAGAGAGAAGTGGAATAGCTTTCGACTTCGAGCTTTCGCAACATCGAAGGCTTCAAATTAATTTAGCAATTCGTATAATGGGAGATAATAGATGCGAGGTTTCCTTTCATTTGGAAGATTTCGATACGTATTTTTGATGGACAGTTTTCAAAGATGAGTGAATGAATAAAGAGATATAATAGACACGAGGTTTCCTTTCATTTTGATATTTAAGATTTCGATACGTAAGTATCTTTGATGGACAGTTTTCAAAGATTGAATGAATGATTAATTTGTCATGGAGAATATTGCGTATCTCTGTCGTTGGTTTCGGGGAATCAGACTTCATTAGAAAATATATGTTTCTTATGAAACACTTTCGAGTGCATAGGATTAATGTAAAAGCAAGTTGACATTGAAATGAAACTTTCTTTGTCCTTGTTTATTACGCGTTGAAATGACTTCGGCGAATTGCGTCGTCTTCTGGAAACGCAGATTGATCGTCGATCGAGGTACTACAATTATTTTTCCATTGCAAACACTATTACTACGAGGATCCCTGATTCCCGAGCGATCGAAGAACCGAACGCTCCGCTCGGAGCGCTCCATCGGAGGATCTAAAATGGCGGCGGCCGACGCAATGGCGAAGTCGCGTGCTTCTTTCGTTTACAGAGCGATGCCAGATATCGAAGGGACAAATAGAATCATTACTCGTTAACGAGCACCTTCTCCCGGCAAACAACTCGGCTACGAGTGGCGCACGACTGCGCTTATTTACGACCTATGCATACGAGATTACCGAGCAGTCGTATTCGTCCGACGGCGTCCCGCGTAGTCCGCAATCGGAGACGTCGAAACGACGACCGCGGTCCCGGGAATAACGGTGAAACCGTCGGAACGACTGTTTTCGGTTTCTTTAGTTCGTAATTATTCATACTGATATTTTCAACGATTAAAGTAACACTTGAGAAATCGAAGATATCGATGTCTTCGTAGTGTTCGTTGCGAAACGATTTTAAACATAGCTTCAGTCGAATATTGGAAACTTATAACTTCCAGCGTCGACACTAGGAACCATTGGAATTAATTTCCTTCGCGACATATTCGAAGACAGATTTCCGCGAGACGTGAAATACTTGGAATCTCGAACTACGTTGCGCGAAACGATTTTAAACATACCTTCAATCGAATATTGGAAACTTTTATAACTTCCAGCGTCGACACTACGAATCAACGATTATAACTTCAGAATCTTCATTCCGCGAACATTGGAATCAACTTCCTTCCCAACATATTCCAAAACAGATTCCGCGAGACGTTCAATACATCGAATATCGAAATACCTCTCCGGACTTTCAAGAGGAATTCCAAGTAAATCCAATTACTCGGTAGCTCCAGTGTCTCCTATTTCTCGATCAATCTTCGAGCGCCGTTCAATGATTCATCATCGGCCGGTTAAACCATCGTCCGGCGACAGATAGAAGACCGATCGGGATCGCACGCTCGTTTATCCTTTCATCGCGGCGACCGCGACGGATAACGCCGTTTATTTCCACCGTCGCGTTGCTCGGAGACGGTCAACCCGCTCGTTCGGCTGCCGCGTCACGATTTTCCTCGATCGACCTGTTCCCGAGGGTGCGAGCTGCTAACAGGTGACCAGGTAACCCGGAAACCGCCGTTTTTCCCCGAGCGAAACGCCTCTGTCCGTTCGATTCCAGCGAATTTCGCGTCCCATTGTAACGCTCGCCGCTCGCGCTCGACTCGTCATTCTCATTGGGAACCTCGGACACGCGTGATCGCGTCCGATTTCCATTCCCGAGCTACATTCAATCAACCCGCAACGGAAACAGCCCGGGAAAATTCAATACCGTCCTTTTATCGGCGCGTATCGCCGCACCAGCGTTTTACAATGACTTAAATTTTCCCGGGAATGGTGTCCAATTTCTCGCCGATGAAATTTGATTTTTAGAACCTTCGAGCCCGTGCCGAATTTCCTGGCTGTTGGAGCGTCGAGTGTCACCTTCGGCGCTTAAATGTCGCTTGTTTTGTCGAATGCGAATAGGAAGGATCGTTGATTATTTGCTGGCGGAACACCTGCGTTTCGCTATTAGCAATTTCATTGACTGGCCGATGGGGTGGTTCGATACTGAAACACTCATTAACCCTTTGCACACTCAGTCGCCATTTTATTTGATACAGCAAAACTATGAAGTTAAATATTTAGTACTTTAAATTAAACTTCGCATTGTTATGTGAAATATTTAAGTAAAGTATCTCTGTTGCTTAATTCGCCCGTGAATTATCGTTGGATTAGGTTCGAACAACGTCGTCTGTATCTCGTCGGAAAATCTTGAATATTTCCAGTGAAGAACTTTCGGGTGGAAAGGGTTAAAGGCGCGAAACGGTTGGAGAACGGTTGCGAGACACGGAGCGGCCGCTATCGATTTGAAACATTAGTTTCGCGGGGCCGGAGAGGGTGTTTCCGGGATGGCCGATCGCGAAGGGCCCGATGGAAGCCGTTTCTCTCGCGAATTCATTTACCCGGTCTCGATTTATCGTTCCGCCGGCGGTCGTCCATTTGCCAGCGGCGGCGCGCGGAATTTTCTCGCTGAGCCGCGCGTATCATAACACGGGTCGTTCGTTTGCCGAAATGATTAACTCCGCAAACTGCAGGAGCGGAACGGTTTGATGGAATTATGCGCGCAGAGGAATAATTGACCGTCCCGGCGCAGTCGGGAACGCTCTAGTCGGAGTTCGCCGGTTCGACTTGTAAACGATGTACCTTCCCGCGCGTTATCGATTTTTAACACTTTGCACTCGAAAGATTTCCACTGGAAATATTCAACATTCTCCGAGGAGACACGGACGACATTGAAACTAATTTAACGGTAATTCGCAGATAGATTGACCCTTTGAACTCTGTAGGCTTCAATACTGCGCCAGTTGTAATATTGAATCATTGACCTAGTGTTAACCCTTTGCGGACGAACGTCGACGTTTCGACGAGATGAAGCGTCCATATTTGGAAATCTAAGTCGCAAACAAATGATTTAATTAATGGAATCGCAAGAGATTAGCACGTAGTTTCCTATCTTTCTATTGTTCAAGTAATCGTTACATTATTTAGCTTCATCTGTCGAGGCTTTCGTATATTCCAGAGAATCTTCGTCAAAGGGTTAACCGTTAAACCAGTTAACTGCATTTAACGAGTA